CGAATTACGAGTTGAACTGCTTGATCATTTTCATGACGTTTCTGCAAAGTCTCATTTGCCATCTTCTGGTGATATCTAGATCCTGCACCCATATGTAATTAATAGGAACATCAAAAAATTCATTAATTAATTAATTTCCCAATGATGGTTGAATTCATATTGAAACATTCATTTCTTATATTTATAATTCAAGATCTTCAGTACTATATTGCGATAACTAGCTAGCTGCGTTTGGGTTCACTATATCCATTATGGAATATAGTTTTGATCCTATTCGAAAAGGATTGGTGGTTAAAAAAAACTAGGATCGTTTTTCTCAAGTAATTTGAATAATATTTAATAATTGCATCTTCTATATTCAAACAAATTATGTTTGAACTTTGCCGATACAGAGGTGCGCCACTGACAAATTCAACTCTGAAATGTTGAATGTATGTATCAAAAATACAGCATATAAATCCTTGACATGCGTATTTAAAAATCACAATCCAACCGAACGTATTTACCTTTCATTGTTTTCCACTAATCCTTCTCAAACAGGATTCTTTAAAATCGTTCAGTATCACCATCGAATAAGACAATGAAACTTCTCGTTATTATTTCAACATTAGTTGGACTGTGTGAAAGTGCCCGCATTTTGGGGGTTGTACCAACACCTTCCTTCAGCCATCAAGTGGCCTTCAGACCTTTATGGAGAGAATTGGCTAAACGAGGACATGACTTGGTGGTGATTACTACTGATCCGGAAAACGATCCAACCTTGAACTTGACGGAGATTGATATCAGTTCGGCGTACGAATTGTGGGAAGAAGCAGAAATCGTCAGACTCTTAGAAGAACTGAAATACCAGCCGTTAAAACTCTCGAATCATATAAAATGGGTATCTTTCCAAGTGTGCGACCACGAGCTTGGCAATCCGAAAATTCAAGCTCTATTGAAGAACGAATCTGAATATTTTGATCTTGTTATAGTGGAGTTCTTACATCCGATAATGCTAGCTTTCGCTGAGAGATTCCATTGCCCCCACATAGGAGTAGCAAGTATGGAGCTTCCTACATTCCTCCATAATATTATTGGAAACCCAGTTCATCCTATAGCTCACCCTGACGTGATGTTACCATTCGAAGGAGAATTGACTTTTTTCCAGAGAGTAATGAGTTGTGTTTTCAATTTCATGATGTATATAAATTCCTTTATTCCAATGGAGGAAGATCAAATTGTGGAAAGACACTTCGGAAAAAACATGCCTCCAATAAGAGATATGATGCTGAAGTTCAGCATGATGTTCATCAATGTGGATCCAGCTTTCAACCTGAGACCACTGGGCCCAGCATTTGTTTCTATTGGTGGAGGTACGCATCTTGGATCTGCGAAGCCCTTGCCAAAGGTGAGGATTACCATAACCATAATATGTGTAGAAGGAATTGATTCAAATAAATAATAATAATACCAATAACATTGAAGACCTTGGAGGTTCATCATGGCCTGCTAGAATGGTGACTTCGACACCCTAGTCCACCACAGTCGCGTGATGGGTATAGAGGTTCCTGACACGAAATGAAGGGCCTACCGTGAGACGTTTGAGACCCTAATGCACTTGCTGTCAGGATGTCCAGCACATGCGGTCTCAGCCTATATTCACTGACATAACGCGGCCCTAAGAGTGCTTTAATACCACCTACGGTACCTTCACGATATTGACGAGACACCAATGTTGCCCTAAGCTCCGGGGCATAATGAATCCGTTGTGGGGAAGTGCCGAATTTATTGGAACTATTCGTTCACCACCCTGACACTCATACAAGCTAATAAGCCCAATGTAGACTTTCTCGACCACCAGAGCAAGACGATATTTGTCGTGGAGTTTTCAACTCCAAACGAGACGAATATCATTCGAAAAGAGGAGGAAAAACCGATGAAATACCGAGATTCTCTCTTCGATCTCCACAGACTCTATCCAGGCCACTCTGTCAAGATTGTTGTTCTGATTATTGGAGTCCTTATAATTATACTGGCTTGCCGCACTAAGGCAGAACTCTCAGCCGGGCAGATACAGAAGACTGTCATTCTTGGCTCACTGCGATTGTTCAGGGCACATGATTCTCGAACCCACTACACCTCACGGTGTAGAGAGTGGTCGTTGGCTTGATAATGCTGGCACGCCGTCCTGAATATATTGGGGCTTCAGGTAATAGGGCCTAACCAGCGCAAACTTAGGTTTGAAAAAAAAATAAAATGAATTTTAATAATAATAGCAATANAACGGATAAAATATCGAGATTTTCTCTTCGAACTCCGCAGACTCTATCCAAATCACTCTGTCAAGATGGTTGTTCTGATTATTGGAGTCCTTGGTGGAATGATGTACTCTCTACTCTCGAATCTTAAAATCATACCGGCTTGCCGCACTAAGGCAGAAATCTTAGCCGCACAGATGCAGAAGGCTGTCATTCTTGGCTCACTACGCTTGCTCAGGGCACATTATTCTCAACCAATGATCACTTACCCCACGGACTGGGAAGTGGTCATTGGTTGATAATGCTGGCGCGCCCTCACAAATAGGGATGGCGCGCCAGCATTATAGGGATAGGGCCTGACCAGCGCACACTACGGTGAAATAAAAATACTTCTTTATCCATCATAACAAACCAAAATAAATACAACAAATGGATATCTATATGTCTACAAAATACTGTCTGTTCAAAAAATAATTATTTATTCATTAATTTTCATTGTCCCCTTCAAAAAAGTACCCCTCACTTGTACCAGCGTTTTTCCAATCCTTCAAGCAATTCCCATATGTACTTTCTGGCATGTCCTTGAGCAATAGTCACAAAACGCCATCCTTCCATGGGTCTCTTTAATCCTGGGAACAGAAAAAAGTCGTAGAGGATCAAATCTGGTCAACACGGTGGTTGAAGCATGATTGGCCAAAAAAATTACGAACAACCAACGCACATGCACATGAATCGTTTTTCCTCAATACCGTATTGCTTCTCGCAAACGGCGCATAACTTCAAAATTATAATCCTTATTGTGGTTATGTGGCAAAAACTCCTGATACAGTGAGCAAATCCTTGGCGTGCTTTTTTCTGTTCTTGGCTCTTGGGTGATTGAACTTTGGTTTCGATATCATAACCGTATACCCATGATTCATCACCAGTTACGACCCTTTTGAGAAAATCTTTTTTTTTTGTCAAAATTCAGCAGTTTTGGAAGTAACTTCGAAATAAGTGTACCAACATAAAAAAAATTTAAAAAACGATAATCGAATGGAGGTAGCACGCGAAATTTCAACATTCACCTTATTTTTCAATAGTCCACGTACCTGTGTAGGAAAAAGGGCATGATATGGAGATGAAACTTTTCAAGTCCTCTACTTTTCTATCAATATATAAATAGTAGGAAATTACAAGAGATAGAAAAAAATCTATCAATCAACACTTCTGATATAAATTGAAACCGATTACTTTCGATTAACTTACAGAATCTCTGTCTCTCTCTCTAATTTTTATGGCCGTTGCTTCTTATTCGTGCACATTTGGCCAGACTCCTTCTGGTCATAGTGAACAGAAGCTTCGTCAGGGGGCGTACCTGTCTTAATCGAAGCAATGCTGCTACCATAAGTTTATACATTTTTTCTGTAAAAAAACACACCAGAGGGCGTCGACATCCAGCCTGGTTACTGGCGTAGGGGGCTGCCAGTCCTCTCAATACGTCTTCCACTTCAATATTTATTCGAACTAAACTTCGTTTTACAATATACCTATCTTTTGGACTACGTGACATTTTTAAGGGCGGTCGTTTTCGGCACAGCCGTCCTCTGTCGTGATCGGAGAGGAAGTCCTTGAGTGCACTATTCTTCTCATCTATGTTACAGAATCTTCAGGAATACATGGATGGGGCAGAATACGGAGTTATCTATTTCAGTCTGGGGACTAATGTTAAAAGCTCGTTAGTTCCACCCGAGATGCAAAAATTATTTTTGGATACGTTCAAGGAGTTGCCTTATAGAATTTTGTGGAAATTCGATGAGCACAATCCACAGGATGTTCCAGCAAATGTGAAAATCATGAACTGGGTGCCTCAACAAGATATTCTGAGTAAGAAAATTCGATAAACTGACTTTTGAGGTAGAGTGCTTTTGTCCTGAAATTTCAAGATTGATATTATAAAAATATTTCATACGAGGGTTGCCTTTTATGTTTCGAGATTTGGCAACCCTAGTGTTGCAATCTGGCAACTGACAGCTCTATCGTGAAGTTGGACATTTTTAAGCTTACACGTACTCAGAACGTTTAGACATACGGGCGCTATTAGTGTTGTTTACAGTAACTTTAAAGATTTTTTACAGCATTCGACGTGGATCAAGTCAGCAATAGTGCATGGATGAACTTAATTCAATTTTTGGCGATGAAGCTCCATCAAGGACCAGTCTTTATCGATGGTATGGTGAATTCAATCGTGATCGTAGTTCACTCCAAGACGAATTTCGTGAAGGTCGTCAAAAATCAGTTGTTGGTGTAAAAACCATTGATGCTGTGCGCGAACTGATATTAAGACAACCTTAGGCATTAGTGGGACCAGCATACATTCAATATTGCATAAACATTTGACTGTCAAAAAAATTTGTTCGTGTTGGATCCCACACAATTAGTCAGTCGCCCAAAAAAAAGTTCGTGTCGATTGGTAGAAGGAAATACTCAAAGAACACGATGCTTCGAAACACGTCTATGACATCGTGACCGGTGATGAATCGTGGATTTACGCGTATGAGCCCGAAAGTAAACAGCAGTCGACTGTATGGGTGTTTCAAGATGAGCCAAATCCAACAAAAGTTGTTCGCGCACGATGCACTTCCAAACAAATGGTCGCCTATTTTTTCGAAAAAACTAGACATGTCGCAACCGAACCACTAGAACAACGCTGAACAGTCAATTCTGAGTGGTACACAACCATTTGTTTGCCAGTTGTCTTCCAAGAAGTCAGGAAAACCAATCGCCGAAGACGGATCACTCTTCACCACGACAATGCGAGCTCTCACACATCGGCTCAAACAACTGCATTTTTGAGCACCCAAAACATCGATTTCATGAGTCATCCGCCGTATAGTCCTGACTTGGCACCGAATGACTTCTTTTTATTCCCGCACGTGAAAAACAAACTGAGAGGTCAACGTTTTTCGACACCTGAAGAAGCAGTTGCTTTATTCAGAATGCATGTTTTGGAGATACCTCAATCAAAGTGGCGAAAGTGCTTCGACAATTGGTTCAAACGCATGCAAAACGGTGTAGATCTTCATGGCGAATATTTTGAAAAACAATAAAGTGATTTTCGATGATTATTATTTGTTTTTGTTCTCTGATCCCGAAATATAAAAGGCAACCCTCGTACATTATAGAGTACCAAATCATCTCAGAATTTCACAGAAACATTCAGATGATATTAATCAGTTCAAAAAATAAATCTTTGTGTCAAAGTTATTTCCGTGTTTTTTTGGACGTGATCCATAGGTTTTTATGCCTGACGTTTCATCTGTAACTGCGGTGGACATTATCAAAGGCGATGAGGTAATGGTCAAAGTGCTGGAGATGTTCTCAACGCAGAATGTTCAATGCTGGTTCAAGTTAAAGACATTTATTGACACGGAGACGTTTTGGCACGGAGTTAATTTCATTATATAGGGTTATAGGGGCCCTGATATAGACTCATGCCTATACAATACGATAGTTATTAATAAAAAAAAGGTTATATTTATCTAAATCTCAATTTATGTTAGTATATCTAAGGGTTAGTTATTAGTTTTGAAATATACAATGAACTTATCGTAAGTTAGTATGGTTAGTAGGTTTTCTAGTGTTTCTCAGGCATCGCGGTCCTTGTTGGTGATGATGTTCTATTATACGACGATGTTCTGAAAAGTTTCCCACCTCAACATGAAAATAGCAGCACTCGTAAATGTAAGCTAGTCAATTTCGTTGTTCACATGTTGACAGTTACTCACCAAAGTTTCAGCCATTTTGGACGCGCAGTTGTTATGTAACAGCGGAGGAAATCGAGTGTCAAGCTATCATTAAATATTTGTTTTCGAAAGGTAATACGCCTACACAAATGAAAGATGTGTTGGATTATGTGAATGAGGACGCATCATCATCATCATTTATCACAGTGAAATTTTGGGCAGCTGAATTCAATGTAGCCGTAAGAGCTTGGAGACGATGAACGTTCGAAACGTCAAAAAACTGCAGCCACCGACGAAAACATCGCCAAAGTTCACAAAATAGTGCTAGACGCCGAATTAAATTGAGAGAGATAGCAGAGGTTATGAACATGTCACAAGAACGTGTTTGTCACATATTCAATCAACATCTAGGCATGAGAAATCTGTCCGCGCGTTGAGTGACGCGTTTGCTCACTTTAGACCAAAAACGTGTTCGAATGAAGATTTCCAACTTTCTCTTGTCGCAGTTTAATTGCAATCAATCATTCCGAGTTTGACGCCGATTAATTACTATAGATGATACTTGGATACACCAATTATACGCCCGAAACAAAAGTACAGTCCAAACAGTGGACTGCAGAAGGGGAACGGGCGCCAAAAGAAGCAGAAACTGTTATTTCAACTGGGAAAGTGATGGCGCCTCTTTTTTGGGATAGTCATGGAGTTATTCCAATCAATTATATTCAAAAAGAAGAAAACATTACAGGAGCTTACTACGCACCATTACTTCACAAGCTGACACAAGGTGTCTTCCGCAGAACCTGCGGAAGACACCAAGACAACGCACCATGTCACACAGCAGCGGTTGCCGTGATGAACATTTACGAATTACGAGTTGAACTGCTTGACCATCCGCCTTACTCTCCGGATTTAGCCACAAGCGACTTCTTTTTGTTACATCACCTAAAATTTGCGGTCGCAGTATATATATTTTCATCGAAAGAAGAGGCAATCAATTTCGCGGACAATTATTTTGCAGAGAAAAACGCCGAGTACTATTTGGGCGGGTTACAGAGATGAGAGCATCGCTGAAAGGAGTGTGTAGAATTAAAAGGAGACTATGTTGAAAAATGAAAAACATATGAAAACAATCTTGTATCTTTCTTAGATCGAAAACTTTTCAGACCCCCCTCGTAAAGGGTGAATGGTCCTGGTATAATAGCTGGTGGTCGATAATTGGTGGGTTTTGGTTCAGGTACGGGTAGGCATGCATGGGTGAATAAATTGAACCATAGTGTGCTCTGGGCTGTCTGCTATCCATTACCAAATCGCCAGCGGGAGCTTATCGAGGATGTCCTGGAATTGCTTCTGGATATCAACCAGGGCTCCTTGTAGCCTGGCTGGGAAAAACGGAAGCTTCTTCTTTGAAATCCTTCTAGAACCCCCGTGGAGCTTCCAGAGGGTGGCCAATGTCTCTATAGCAGGGGTACTGGTGCTGCTGAGGGTTCTGGCCATGTATCAGCCTTGAAGTTCCTGAAATATCAAATTTATAGGTGTTATTTTCACTGTGTCATAATAGACCCCCCTCGTAAAGGGTGAATGGTCCTGGTATAATAGCTGGTGGTCGATAATTGGTGGGTTTTGGTTCAGGTACGGGTAGGCATGGGTGAATAAATTGAACCTTAGTGTGCTCCGGGCTGTGGGCTATCCATTACCAGATCGCCAGCCGGAGCTCATCGAGGATGTCCTGGAATTGCTTCTGGGTATCACCCAGGGCTCCTTGTAGCCTGGCTGGGAAAAACGGAAGCTTCTTCCTTGAAATCCTTCTAGAACCCCCGCGGGGCTTCCAGAGGGTGGCCAAATCTCTATAGCAGGGGTGCTGGTGCTGCTGAGGGTTCTGGCCATGTATCAGCCTTGAAGTTCCTGAAATATCAAATTTATGGGTGTTATTTTCACTGTGTCATAAACTTTGTTGTTAGTATGTGATGGAATAGTCTCGGGAAGTGGATCATGGCCTAATAGTTCAGGATCGGTCTAATAAACATTTCATATATGTCTGTAGTAGTGTCTTACTGGCGCATATTTTGAGCTTGCTCCTTTTCCAGACTCTCTCCAGAATGCCTCGTACGTCGGTTTTTCAATTGAGAGTCCTCGTAGAAGTAACCTCCAAGTAGGTCACCGAGTCTTGTAGTGGGAAGTTCTCACCCAAAAGTCTAAGATCCAAGTTGTTAGTGTTCAGTTAAGGTCGGGTTGTAGTATTGGGGTGTCTGAAGAGGATGATTTGTGTTTTGGTCGGGTAAATTTTGATAGACCATTCGCTGCACCAAAGAGCAAAATGGTTTATCATTGTTTGTGTTCGTGTTTGTAGGTTGTCGGATGTGAGATGGGACATTGGACCATTAACGAGGAAACCAAGACAGGTACCTGCATAAAAAGTCTAATCACCAACCACAACGAAAGAGGGAGGGGATTTGAAAGTTGGTTTAGATTGCACGAAACATCGGTACATCGAAGTAGGATTCGAGCGGGCTATACATCCCAAAAGAGAAAACGCCAAAGTAATCCATGCTAGGCCCACTGAAGGAAAAGCTTTTGTTCCCTATGTTAAAACTGTAACAGATAGAATTGAAGAATTTCAGGGAAACACGACGTGTAACCAATATTTAGGTAAATAAAAACTATCAGAGAAAGTATAAAGTCAGCTAAGGACCTCAGAGAGCCTTCAGCAATACCCGGAGTGTACCGAATTCCTTGTAGCTGCGAGTCGGTTCACAATGGAAGCTTGAAAAGAAGTACCTATAGGTACCCACCTCTCAGAGGTGGGTACCTATAGGTACCCACCTCTATTGTCATCCCGGACAAACCGACAAATCAGCTGTAGACTGACATGCTCTCAACAAAGGGGTGACTTATCTCATTCAAAATTACCATCCAAGAATATGGAGAGAGGCAATAGAAGTTCAGGAGCACAAGGATAATCTCAATAGAAAGGAAGAGGCAATGAACATTAATGAAATCTGGCTACCTGTCCCCAATTGTACACTAACAAGGTCACGCCCACTTATGATAATATAGAATCGGAGACAAATTCCAGCATGGTAGTTTCAGTGTTGAGAACAATTCGAGCACTTCATCCGTTACCTTATCGCTTTTGATATTGTCTACCGCAGTAGTAAACGAAACATTAGACATACGAACCTGCAAACCACGGACATAGTTATCTCTGGTCGTGAAAGATTACGCTCCTTGCCATATATCATTACTAAATGTTTTTTTCGACAGGACATTCCAAAGTGAAAGCGTTTATAACTCAAGGAGGTCTGCAATCTTTAGAAGAAGCAATGTTCTCCCATGTCCCTGTGATTGGCATCCCCTTCATATATGACCAAGAGAAAAATGTTCATAAAATGATGACGAGAGGACTTGGAATTGAACTTGATAAAAATAAGCTCACAAAAGAATCATTCAAAGCAGCAATTCTCGAAGTTATCAACAATCCTAGGTGAGAGCGACTTGTTACTGTTCAGGCTCAGTTGTTCAATTAGTTCAGACGATATCATCTGACTAGGTATAATAATTTTCATTCGATAAATCAATAATTGAATAGTTGTTCGCAGTGTCGTTGCCAAGGCACTGATAACCAGACTTGAGAGCGACGCCTAATCTTGGATAAAAAAAAAGCGTATTCAGTATTTCAAAAAGGTGAAAGCACGGTCAGAAATATTTTTATTGTCAAATTAATTGATTGGAATAATTTATAGTGTGTTAAGGTTCCAGGTACGTACCAGTTCTGTTTCAGCTATTGAGCACGTTCAATTTGTTGGTGAGAGGCATAAAAGTTAGAAGTGTTTGGTTTCTTTCTGCTGCTGGGGACTACTCTGAAGGAGACAAAATAGAAATTGATGAATGAATACCAATACCACACCGTCAGCGGCCAAGGAGATCCTTCTACATCTACCTCGTCTCCACATTTTTCTGGAGAGAGACGCTAGATGAACTACATATAGACTTGTGCACATTGCCAATTGCACAAATCAATTTAATGAAGAGTGCAACAGACTGTTGGTTGTCACTGGAAGTCACAGAATTCTCGAAATGACCTCTGACTGTATGCCTCCAACTGTCAACTACGAACTGCCTTATAAGGTACTGTTCCCGCGTAGAGAGGACTGGATCTTCCAGGAGCAGATAGTTGTTGGTTCACAGATGGATCAAAAACACCTTCCGGTTCTAGTGAAGGTGTTTTCAGTCGCAGACCCAGGACAGAGATATCTATCTGCCTAGGAACGTATGCGACTGTATTTCAAGCGGAAATTTACGCTATTGAATTGTGTGTGGAGAGATTGGATAAATCCAACCTCATACACAAGTCAATAAAAATATTCTCTGATGGTCAAGCAGCTTTGGAAACTCTTGACTCCTACCGAGCAACGTCTAAATTGGTAGCAAACTGCCAAAAACGACTCTCCTCGATAGGAAGACTCAACAGATTGTCTCTAGTCTGGATTCCCGGCCTTACTGGCCTGGAAAGCAATGAAGCTGCTGATTCTCTTACAAAGAAGGATGCTGCAAGCGGCTTTATTGGACCAGAACGTATTATTGGCATCGCTTTAGGCTTTGCCAAACAATTATTGAACATCTGAATGGACTTCAAATCAAATCAAATCAAATCCTTTATTTTCCTGTTCCACAATTTCATAAGTAATTGTATTAGGAATAGTCAGTAAAGCTAAAATTATTTGTTTTCAGTCGCAGACCCAGGACAGAGATATCTATCTGCCTAGGAACGTATGCGACTGTATTTCAAGCGGAAATTTACGCTATTGAATTGTGTGCGGAGAGATTGGATAAATCCAACCTCATACACAAGTCAATAAAAATATTCTCTGATGGTCAAGCAGCTTTGGAAGCTCTTGGCTCCTACCGAGCAACGTCTAAATTGGTAGCAAACTGCCAAAAACGACTCTCCTCGATAGGAAGACTCAACAGATTGTCTCTAGTCCGGATTCCCGGCCTTACTGGCCTGGAAAGCAATGAAGCTGCTGATTCTCTTACAGAGCAGGATGCTGCAAGCGGCTTTATTGGACCAGAACGTATTATTGACATCGCTTTAGGCTTTGCCAAACAATTATTGAACACCTGAATGGACCTCAAATCAAATCAAATCCTTTATTTTCCTGTTCCACAATTTCATAAGTAATTGTATTAGGAATAGTCAGTAAAGCTAAAATTATAAACTACTACACTAAAACTAGAAGCACACACGAAAACGCATGCACACACCACACGTTTGTGGCTCACTCCAAGGCGTTTATTCACCCTACGAAGCTCAACACCAAATAGTTGTTGGACTACAATAGGAATGAACTACGATGTACCACGCCTTCTTACAGGTGACTGTCATTTGAATCATCATCTGCAGAGATTCGGACTGTCGGAAGACAGTGTGTGTCGCCTCTGTTTGGAAAATGATGAAACAGTAGAGCATATACTTTGTGCTTGCCCCGCTGGGGACCAAATCAGATTTTTAGAGTTCGGCAGAGCCGTACTCTTACCATCTGACCTGAAAGATACAAACGAAGCTGCTTCGCTGAGAAGCTGGGTTTATTTGGTCGAGTGTGAATAGGTGTGAGCCACAATAAACCCTTGCGGGTTGCGGTGGAGGGTCGAATAGACCCACTCACTTTAGACCTGATCTAACCTACTTGCCAATGGAAATAATTGAAATACAACCGTGAAGTAATGAACTTGTTAATCTGTGATTGGGTCGAAGGTAGCGAGTTACGTATCTGGACAACTGAGACTGGTTTTGAGGTGTTGGTTAGTTTTCAATAGGCATGGCTCACCTGAGAATTTCTTTTTCAGGTATAAAGAAAAAGCAGTGGAACTCGCGAAATTGTCCAGAGACCAACCAATGACTGGTTTAGAAAAAGCAGTGTGGTGGACCGAATATGTATTGAGGCATAGAGGAGCCCCAAACTTTCGCAATCCAGTACTGGACATGCCATTTTATCAGTATTACCTCATAGATGTGATAGGTTTTCTCATAGGATTAATTATTATATTTTGGTTTACTTGTGTAAAAATAGTCTCTAGTTTCAGGTACATATTTGTTAGTTGCCTTCATTTTTCCACAGTTAAACGGAAAATTCAATAACTTTGGTCTTCTGAAAGGACATGATTTCAATTTTGAACGAACTAGTTCAGGCAACTTGTCAAGTTAATTTTGGCAATCCTTTATTCAATTTTCTTCAGTGAGAAAATTATATTACAACATGATTTGTTTTGCAAGTAGTTAACACTGTTTTTTGATGAATCTCTAATGAGAGGTTTGGACTCCCTTTGTACAGGATCTTCCAATAGAGACTTCAGAACTTTGACAATTGATAACTGACATCTTGTTGAAGCTACATCTGTCAAATAGTTGTCATTTATTCAGTCTGATTTGTCAAATCACCATGGACGGATATAGCATTCAACAATACTTGCAAATGATTCAATTGTATCAAAATGGGTTTTCTTTTTGGCCAACGTACCTCGTGCTTCGCGCAGGAGAATCCGAGGTCATGGGTGATGAGGCCCATTTCTCGATGAATTGGTACCTGAACGAACAAAATTGTCAAATTTGGGACGATACCAATCCGCATGAGATCCAAGAGCACTAAAGGTAAATAATTACCAACTTCTTCTGGCTGGACACCAACGACATGTGGTTTCAACAGGACGGACGTGACGAACATTTGGACGATATTCTGTATCTGTATATGTAGAGTAGGGAGGGTCAGTGTAGCACTTAGGCCACATGTGATCCATTGTACATCCTCCCAAGGAGTTGTCCTCCTAGCTCATCGTCCATTCTGTCCATTCCAGGAAGGTGGACAGGTCACTGGGAGACATCTCCTTTGTATTGGCAGGTGTAGCCAAAGACTCGTCGAACATACACTCTCTTTGGCAACCTTGAGGTGTCTCACGGTGGCCTGCGCGAAGGTTTTGGAAGGTGCAGCGACATTACTGGAGTAGGGAGGAGGAGGGTGCGCTTATAGTTGCTGCCTCTTAATGCTCTCTTTCTCCTTTTGGCATTGGCGCCACAAATGCGTATACGCCTTGACCTTTGTATTATATCACGAGGTGATCTGCTATGTCCAGTCTCATTCGAAGCGGTAGATTGTGGTGGACATTTCTGTTCATCCCCAGCCACCGCCTTAGATTGAGGTGAGCACTTCTGTCCAGCCTCGGAATTGGTTTTTGTTGTTTCTGTTTTTGTGTTTGTTTCATTAATGTGTGTTCCCACAAGTAGCAAGGGAGAGTTGGTCACCTCTGGCAGAGCCCCGCATTACCAAAGGTATGCTGCCCAGTTCCCCAAGGGGATCGTTCGTTACCGCATATCACCCTGCGACCATTCAGCTGTCGGCACGATTCCTCATACCTTAGTTTGGGTAGGCTGGTCCACGGTGACATGTTTAGCAAATACTTTTGGGGAGTTTTAGTTCCCCTCACCCTAATTATTTCTGCCACTGACCTCCTGGTCAGTGGCAGTCCGTAAGATCACATCCGAAAATACCTACCACAGAGAAGCGACAAAGACGGCCATTTTGTGTCCCTTTTTCGTAGACGCATGCGTCGACTTGGTTGTCTCCACGTCATTCTCGGGCTTAGTTGTCTCCATTAGTCTGTGAGCACTGAGCAAACATAATGAGATAGGTGGTTAGTTACAAAAGGTACCTACCTAACTCGGTATACATTAATATTCTGCTATTTAAGCAAGAGTTTTCAAGAGATTATTAATTTTGAAGAATCCATCGTGAGAGAAACAGTAGAAAATTCAGCAATATTCAAGGTACTTGCAATTAAAACAATGCTCGAACAGGACAAGCGATGTGTGATATCTATAGATGAGATGGCTTTAAAATTCAATCTTTTTTTTGATACAGGATGTGATGAAATTATTGGTTTCGAAGATATTGGAGAGGCAAATAAGAGGAATTCCATTTGTAGAAATGTTCCCGTTATTATGCCTCATATTATTATGTTATTATGCCTCTAGTTGAGTTGCTGGAAGACTTGCCTTTGAATATTTTGAGAAAATATCAGTATTTTCAATATGATGGAAGTTCGCCACATAACAGAACTATTTGCAGAGATTTCCTCAATACGACTAGGCCAGGACGATGGATAGGAAACAATGGCCCTATTAAATGGCAACACGTTTACCTGACCTGACCCTTCTGGACTTTACATTGTGGAGCTTCAATAAAGACAAGGTATTCGGCTCGAACTTCACTCAACAGCTGAGGAGAAAATAGAAAGATATTTTTATTGCCGTCAATGAAAAAAAACTGAGAGTAAGCTAAATAAACCTGAGACAAAACAAAAAAAAAATACATAAAAATAGTGTATATAGAAAGTTGCAATACATTTTCATTCTTATATGCACGAAAACAAATATATACAATTTTCTTGACAGTTTTTTTTTTTATTCCTATACGTCTTTTCGAATATAACCATCGAATAATCTTATCGGTAACCCAAAAATTAATTTTTAATAGATAAACAAAGTTGAAAGGAAAAGTATGTTCATTTACTTATCAATCACACTAAGGATGGGTTTTAACTGTAGATAAATGAATTAAAATTGCGTGAGTGTATATTTACCTGGGTTTCTCAAGTAAGTCTGTAGAATTCCATGACTCTTCATAAAAAATAATTATCAATATTATGATGGAACTGGCCAGTACTTGATGAAAATCCATAATTAACGTATTCAAAAAACACTTTATTGTGAGACAGTTTTACCAAAACCGCAATACGTGTTTCGACATGCAATGGCTTCTTCAGGCGTATCATGCCATTCATGATAAGAAAACAAATGTCACACTTATAACTTAACTAGAGACGCGCGTTTCGCTACACAGTAACTTCCTCAGTCGAACTGAAGAATGGATAGTGACACTAATTCACATCAAGTATATTAATAATATACTATTTATCAAGTTATTTTGAACCAATTGGGTTTAATACGTTTAGGAAGATTTGATTTCATACTCATCCCTTTCGAATATGTCATTTACATGAGTAAACCGATGCCCCTTTTAAAGAAATACATTTTGTAAATATCCAAATTGGTCTTACTATTCAAACTACTCCTAAGTGCTTCAACTATTTTGGTAAATTTCTCCCTAATTGATCAATAAATAAGTTGGGATGAGAATTACAAGTCAATTTAGAAATCAAATAAATTGAGGAAAATTCTATTCAAATTTAGAAAACTTAAAGAACTCCTACTTCTAAAATATTTCAAAACTTTATACTACTTGCCTGTAGAAAGTCATATCCGCTATGGACTAGTAGTTTGGGAAAGATCATTAAATAGTCATATTTCTCAAATTGAAATTATGCAAAGGCGTTTTCTTAAATTAATATTCTCTAAAAAAGGTAGGTATCCCTCTGATAGATTATACATCGAAACTCGTCTGTTAGACATACGACAGTTGTATTTTGTATGCTCTAAATATCATACAAATAGACATACGGCATCGCTTCCTTCGCCTCAGTACCACCATGGACGTAGAAAAATAATTTTTTTTCTACGTCCATGAGTACCACACCTGCCGAAGAGATCAGTATACTATACTCCTAATGGTCAGGGTCGTTATTCAAAGATAATTTACTTACTTTGCGCCTAAACTCTACAACCGAATTCCTGAAAATATAAAATCTATCTCAAATATCAATCGCTTCAAAAAAGAGTTGAAAGAGCATATTCTTCAAAGTCAGAGACTTTGCTGTCGTCAGCAAAGCAATATATTGGATTCTTCGTGTGTTCCAATAAATCGTTGATATACAATAAAAAGAGGGTTGAAGACAATATGGATAACTGGGGAACACCAGTGTTGATGGTGAAAGTATTATAGCTTGGACGAATTTTATGACAATAACTTCCACTTCCACACTTACCCTAAAATACATCGTACCCCAAGTTAGCGCCGATGAAGAATTATTCGTCGAAACTGAGGCCTATTTTGAAGCTAAAGATAACCATACTATAAAAATGACATAAAAAAATTGTATATTGAATAATAAAATTAAATTTTATCAACTTTTTTCTATATCTATGTTAAATTACCACCTCAAAAACTGAGTCATCAATTCCTTTCCTAGCATATAGCGATTACGTTTAGAGTTCCCCGTAAAAAAGCGAGAGTATTAGCAAGAAAATGATGATATGGATCGTGAAGTAACGTTGAAATTCGAAGTTCACCTACTCATCTTGTGTATTCCAGTAAACCACAGTGATAAGATTAGAATTTATAGAAGGGATACGGGTTGAGTTTTATTTCATTCAGTTTATTACATATGATGCCTGCAACGGTATGTATCTTGAATATTCCACAAGTTTAACTTGTGTAACAAATGCCTTACACGCGGTGTTTAGTAAGCTACTATTATTAGTCATGTTCGTTCACAGTATTCATTAAAATTTGTTTTTAGCGCTCTTCATCATCTATCGACTCGTATGAAATGGTACAAAATGGCGAAAATAAAGCAGACGAAAAAATACCCTGGCCGTTGTGGCAGAAAGTAACTTTGATTAGTGGAATTGCCTTGTAAGTAGATCACAAGTAGGTACAGTGTGATTATTTCAAAACTAAGGTGGACAACGTGCAATAAGTATTTTTGTTCGACTTTACAATAGTAAGATTTCATAAGATTTCATAAGGTGAATTTTCATTTTTCTCAAAAATATGTACTTATTTATCAATTTCTATTTTGTACTCTTCGAAGTAGACCCCTTCAGATATAATACACTTTTGCCAGCAGTTCTGATGTGCACTTTTTGGTAACTCCTTGAGTTCACTCAGTGATTCGGTTTTTATCTCCTCAATCGTCACAAAACACAATCCCTTCATGGGTTTCTTGTCACACGGTCGTACGGTCAATGAGGAGCAGTATCTTGAAGTTATGCTGCGAAGAAAATAATTAATGGCTTTCGCATCACGATAATACACGATAACAACCCCGTTATCATGCCTCAACCATCGTATTCACCAGATTTAGCCCCCTGTGATTTTTTCCTGTTCCCAAGATTGAGAAGACCCATAAGGACGGTGTTTTGCAACGACTGAGATTATTAGATGATAAAAACCGGATCGCCAAATCGCTCAAGGACATATCAGAACTGCTTCGGAGGGAGCCGTACAAATATCTCGAACAGAGAAGTCATCCTAACGAAGTGAAATTAATTTCATCTTTTCATACAGTGCTTTTCTTTAATGTCCCCCTTTTATTTTTTGAACGAGTCAACTCAAAAAATTGAAATTTGAGATAATGAAATGAATGCATGAATACTTTATTTTGAAGTGAAATTGACAGATGAAACTTTCAAGATGGCGACTGGGCGCCATCTGGGAATTTTTTTATTGAAAATGGGGGTCTTGTGACATATCATTTTGAAGCTCCTGACGAATACTTCACAACCCTAGAATATGAGATCAATATCTTCACTTACTACAAAATGGCGGAACTTTCAATAATTGCCTGAATACATTGACATTTAACTACATAATATGAGGCAATAAGCTTGAAGTCAGTTCAGAAGATGCTCGAAATGGTTGCCTTTAACTTCTTGACAGATGATCAGCCTATCCGATATTTCACGCCGAACATTTTCGTACACAAAGTCCAAAGTGTCAAATCGGGCGAGCAGGCTGGCCATTCTGTAGGACCTCGACGGCCAATCCAACGACCGGGAAAAGTAGTATCCAAATAGTTTCTTACTTGTTTGAAGTAATGTGGTGGTGCTCCATCTTGTTGGAATACAATATCCATGTCGAATTCATTAGGATTCGCTTCAATGATTTCAGTGTAAGAGGGTCAACAGTAGTTTCCAGCATATTCAAGTACAGTTCCCCTGTTAAATTTTGATAGATAAATAGAGGTCCTACAATATGCTTTCCCAATATTCCTGCCCAAACGTTGATTTTTTCTGGATATTGGGTATATGTTTCCCGGAAAACGTGAGGGTTGGTGTCACTCCAATAACTGATTACGCAAAATTCTGTTCTTCAATCAGAGTCATCTTCAGTTAATTGGTGTACCATTTAAATTTTCTATGGATGATTCCTATTCCTTTTCAAAAGTCTTCACGCAGCAGAAGGAGACACCTCACAAACATTCGCGACGGAATAAGTCGACTGTTCAGGATTCACTACCATCTCTCCAATGATTTGCACTAGCTGTTCTTCCGGAATGGACGGATGACCTGGGGGCTTTTTGTTATGTACACTACCGGTAGTTGTGAATTTGGATACAAGTTTCCTCAAATATTTTCTAAAGACAGGACGATTCTGAAAACGTTCATCGTTCATCCTTTCGGTCTCGTAAAAGTTACGCGTCGCACCGTAAATAAAAATCGCTTCAATTTTTTTCTTCTAATGGACGAGAATTGACCATTTTAAAGATTGTTGAAGTGGTACCTTTCTACTAGTAAAACCGAAAACTAAATGAGAATATTTTAACTGAACAATGATGTTCATTGTTGTACTGAATTTTTTTTCCGTGAATATTTCTAGAAATATCGATATTAATGTGTTTGTCTTCAGGAAGTTATTAAATTTTCCGCCATTTTGTAGTAGGTGAAGATATTGACTTCATATTTTAAGGTTGTGAAGTATTCGTCAGGAGCTTCAAAATGACGTATCACAAGACCCCCTCTCCATTTAGTTTTTTCCCAGATGGCGCCCAGTCGCCATCTTGAAAGTTTCATCTGTCAATTTCACTTCAAAATAGAGTATTCATGCGTTAATATCATTATCCCAAATTTCAATATTTTGAGTTGGCCCTGTCAAAAAATAACAGGAAGGGACATTGAAGAAATGCACTATATATAGGAAGTTACTTGCGAAGAATCTTCCGAATGGAAGACGTTTCATAGGTGCCTGATGGTTTAGTAGGGTTAGTTGTAGTTTTTCCATCGGGTATCTGCCACATGTACCTACAAAGTCGTAGGTTCACATGAGAGGCAAGGATAAGGCATTTTCACTTAAACTTGAGCATGTCATATGCACCTTTCCGGAAGATATGTATTCATCATTCTGACTCCCACCCAGAAGAATGTGTTTGTGGAGTTGTTTCCGGACTTTTGAGATGTATCCGGAGTTCGTCTGCAGGTGGCAAAGGCAAAGTGGTACATCCTACTGAATCAATTGCAGATAAAGCTTATGACTAGTTGGAATTAATTTCGTTTGTTCGGGATACTCAGACGATTCACTCCGTCTGAAATGATTCTCCCGGTACTGACGAGGAGCTAGTACTTCTACGGTCTATCGGTGGTCGTTCCGACCAAATGAAATTAATTCCTGCTTCTCATATATGAGGAAGTTACTTGCAAGGAATATTTCAAGGAAGACATTATACATGTACCTGATGGTTTCACTTCAGCTTTCTGCGCGGCATTAGATGATTTACTTGCAAGGAATCTTCCAAGGAAGACATTGTTCAGGTACCTGATGGTTCAACTTCAGCTTTCTGCGCGGCGTTAGATGATATAGCTGCCACACGTACCTACAGAATCGTAGGCAAGGGTTATTTTTCTATTAATATTTTGTCATTAGTATTTTTATCCTCAATTCAAAACTCATTTCTTGAATTATCTTTTCTATTTTTTCAGATTATCTTTATTGGTGCTTCTTTTTTTTTCGATATGGGTTGTATTTCCATTGGTCTTCATGAACTCTATATCTTTGCAGAGATTCTTCATGTTCTTTCCTGGTAAGAAATCATTTTAGTTATGTTCAAATTCGAGTTTATGTTTGAGGGAGGTTTTTTATTCATGAAAAATTGATTTTCTGTCATAATTAGAACATTTCTAAGTGAGAAATGCTGATGGCTTTTCTCTTTTCAACAATAGGAATNGCGTTACGGTTATTATATTGTTGATTGTTATCCGTAACCACTGGGACTGACGTAACCGTTACACAAGTGGGACCATCATTTGTCGGTTTTTAACCGACGCAACAAAAATTTGTTAAATAGTTCTGTGGTTTTAACCACTTCGGCCGAATGTGTTACGGTGCATATCCACTTGTAACAAATAACCCGTAACGTAACTGCCGATATTTTGCGTTACAGTTATTATATTGTTGATTGTTATCCGTAACCACTGGGACTGACGTAACCGTTACACAAGTGGGACCATCATTTATCGGTTTTTAACCGGCGCAACAAAAGACTGTTATATAATTATGTGCTTTTAACACACCTCAGCCTAATGTGTTACGGCGCGTATTCCTTTGTAACGTAACGGCAGATGTTTTACGTTACGGTTATTAGAAACAAAGTACTGTTGATTGTTATCCGTAACCACTGCGACTATCTGAACTGAAGTATCTATTTGCAAAATTGTAGAGAATGTCTTATTGAACTATTATAATTTTCTGTTTCAGTTCAAAATCCAAAGCAGCCAGAATTTGACAACCCACTAAAATACGATATCAAAGGAGTTATGAATTTTTACATCACTGTCAAAGATATAGAGAAAAGTGAAAATATTTCGACGTTGGTTAGTATTGGTGCTTGGGTAATTCTACCTGAGAGTGATATCAATGAAACTATTATCCAAGCACACAATATTTCCTCGGCAAAAGAACTCTTACAAAAGACAACTTACCCGGTTCTCCTTTATATGCATGGAGTTGCCTGCAATCGAATATTGCCTACTAGTACTTATGAAGTAGCTAGGAAATATTTCTTCATCATTTCACTTGATCATCGTGGTAAGATACAAATTAAGCACTAGGTTAAAATAGAAGGATGATATCTTCCCTCCTACCAAAACGCCATCTATGGGATTGTCGGAACACTCAATGCCTTAAGATACACGAGACTTCCCATAAATGGCGACTTTATTAGGAGATAATCCATTGCCTTTAATTCCACAGTTTTGTCATTTGAGAACGGTTGGCGGGTCGAAATAGAGCTGTCTGGTGTTGAATCACAAGTGACTGTGGAACATGGTATCTATTGTTAGGCAAAACGTGCTTCGATAAATTCAGTGTTCAGTTCTGGTAGGCCAAAATTCATTGGTCACTACGTCTTTCTAGGTTATGGAGATTCCGGGGCTGACGTTGTACAATCCGAGCTTGGAATAGTCAACGACACCGCTCAGATTTACAAATGGATACTTGACAACACAAAAAATGAAGTGTACATTTGGGGGCATTCATTAGGAACAGCTCTGAGCACCCATACCGTCAAAAAATTGAAGGAAGAGTACAACCAAGTTCCAATGGGGCTCATTTTAGAGTCTCCGTTCACTACTATGAGGGAGGAAGTCGAAAACAATAGTCTGGGAACCGTAAGTTTCGAGGTTAAATGAGTTAATCGAAGACTCAAGTATTATTTCCAGATATTCAAATGGTTGGCCTACTTCGAAAGCACGGTACAAAGACCTTTAGAGAAAAACGGGTTTCTCTTCAGGACCACAACCAATATTCTGTCTGTTGATTGTCCCATCATGATCATGCACGCCATGGATGACAACGTTATACCAATCGCCCTTGGAAGGAAGGTGAGATTGAAGTGTAGCGGCGTTCTTTCATTCCAGATACTTTCAATTCTTCCTTACAGCTTTCAGAAGTAGCACGGAATGAAAGGACAATACCCCAGCAAGGAAATGTGACTTACCACGAATTTATCAGACTTGGTTATGCTCATACTGGCATTACTCGAGATCCCAACATACCTAAATATCTAGTGTAAGTTTTATCAATTAATATGAACTTGATATACAAAGGCGTAGAAAGGACACACATGATTTTGAAAACTAAATCACTGAATTTTCAGTTTAGTCCCAGAATTTAATTTAATTTCGACTTTGAATCGGAACTCGATATTCATAAATTTAGATTTCAAAGTCGGAGTTGGTAAATTTTATTTTCAAGTAAATGTTTGGCCCTGACTGAAAGCAGTTTTTTCAAACACGTAAATGGGAATAAAAGGTAAAACTGGAACTTCTAGCGTAGAATAAATCCATATCAAGCACTGTTCTCAACCTTAATGGTGCTTCATTTCAATCATTTACGATCCGTTCAAGGTCATTCAATCACGTGCTAGATATCACGAACCGTTTATTAGATGACTATATTACCGTATTTTTTTTAAGATTTGATCCTAGAAAGGGCATAGTACTTTTACTATGGTTTTATGAAGAAAGCATACTTATCGTTAGAAATTTCGAAAGATCAATGTATCCTTTTTGGAATGTGGCAACCATGGAGGTGGCAAGTTCCATAATGATTGCTTCAACCGATAGAAACGTGATTCAATTTTGAACAAATAGTTGCATCCCTCGGTGGATTAGAAACTCGTATTATATTATGACTTAAAAGCAAACTCTCTACAATTCTTCACTGGAATAAGGACAAACCATGTACACAGAAGGGTAAACAAACAGGATTACCACTCCTAAGCGCGGGAAAATTGGAGTATTTTACTTGATTGATTGAAGCAGAAAAACGACACAGAACATTAGATTTTGTAAATTTTTGAAATTTTGACCATAGGAAAAATATTATTTTATGTTCTGTGTCACAGACACAGAAGAGCGGATACCCGATATTTCCACATGAACTATTTGATTCTAGTTACTCGACCTGAATCGGCAACGCTATGTTTCAGATCAAAGGCACCTCCTCCTGATATTCGTTATGATTGTTTACTCTTTTTATACCATGGATAATGTCAAAGTGGTCAAACTCAATATTTCACGGACGTACAGGGGTGTAAAACAGAGCATGTCAGATAAAGAGTTACACATGAAATAAGTTCAGATATTTGAATTGAAGGGGTTATATCTACACATCCATGTATAGAGTTACTTATTTTCAAATTGATTACTTCCTTCCTTTCTTTGGAAGATTCCCTCATCCTTTTGTTTGTATCAAGATGGAATAGTAGAAAGCCAAATACTTTCTTTCCCAAAAAACAACTTCAGATATCTTCTGATAACTCGTCAAATATGAGATCGAGATGGTAAAACAAGGCGGTCTCGAAGTGAAAAAGAATACGTATTCGAAAAAAGTGAAAGTAATATAGTAATTAGAAAGGGAGCCAACTGCCACCTTTTGTCCCCTCTCTTCAATTTACGCCTATGTTTACCTTTGTACTATATATCAAAGTCATTTTTTCTCATTTATTTTCAGATCTTTCATGGAACAGTGCAGGGATCAAAATAAAATGCGCAGGTAACCAATAACGGAGGAGACCAAAAATGTGGAATGTAGTCAATAATTGAAAGACGCAGTTTCAAAATACCTTCGAAAAATTTGAAATCGCAAATGTGATTCTTAGCATAAAATACATATTTATTGATTTTTTATTTATTTCAATGTAAGGGAAAGAGGGTGTTGAGGATTCATCAGTAAGACTACGATGTCAAAAGATCTCAAATATTCTCAAATGTGACTTACTTGATTTTTAGAATTAGGAACATTTAATTTATTATTCCTTTCCTTATTTTATCTTTCAATAAACGATTCCATTAGTGATTATTCAATGAACGATTTCCTACATTTCAATATCTCTTAAATTATCAAAATTACCGTAATTTCTACAATCTTATCAATCAATTGTTTCGGCACTCCTGGTCAGATGATAAACTCTGGTTTGAACATCAAAGCAATTTTCCAGCAAGGCGAAAATTCATCTGAAAAAGTTTCTACAAGTAGGTTTATTAATATCCCAGAAATGGACAATAACCTATCGTAAGAATAATGATTAACGGAGAGGGGATGCTACTACTTACGCTTAAAGTTCAAGCGTGTAGTAAAAAAATGCAGAGTTATAAACGTAATGGAATACATGCAATTCTCATGTGCTATAAGTCTGATTCTGTGAAGACAGAAGGTACCAGAGTGGAAAATAGCCTTTCGAACAACACCTACGCTGGAGTTTTTCTTCAAATTTTCAATGTTGAGTTAGTTGAAGAAAACAAAAGTATGAGCGGCTGTTGTTCGATACTGGACACAGTCCGTCGCATATTTCTAACATGTATCGCTCTTGATGAAATCGAATGTGCTAAATCACTTGAAAGTATCTATGAAAGACAAAAAAATCTCCAACTTTTCATCTACAACTTTTCTTCGATGGTCCAGGCTATATCAAGGTTGCACGTGTTGTTCGCGTCTCCAATCAAGCGGATGGGTACGCCAAGGGGGCGGAGCACCATACATGAGAGCTCATGCAAATCAACTATATTTTGATATCAACTTTTATCTCCGGTTTAACATGGAAATGACTGACCAATGACAGTGACACTAGTGACTATTCAATTAATCAAACCCAAACCAAAGTTACTCTTCTGAGGCCGAAATACGAAGATTAGATGGATTATGAACTATATAGTTCATAGAGATAATAATATAGACTGGGCAAGACGTCATTTTGACAGATATTCCACCTGCGGATCACACTACGTCTTGGCCAATGCGTATCATGTGACAAATCAAATCCCAAAATTTTCACAATGGAAATATGCAACAAGTAAAACATCGTTATGTTGTATCTAAAGTTAAATGTATGATTGACGTGAATCTCTTCATCTTTTTTTAGTTGTTGGAGTCAATGTTCTCTCTCCAACAGCCAGTCAATATCTGTGTCCATATTATGATGTCACTATTCATATCTATCTCTTTAACCGATAAGATAACCTTTAACCTTCATCTACTGTTTTTACGGATTTGTTATGGAGTAAATTTTCAATGCGAAACTCAAAACAAATGGTTTTGAAAACATGAGTTGCTTCAATATTATGCTGTGATGCATACAAAACGAATATGTTTTGTATTCTTTGTAAGAGGAGAAAAAACAAATATTCAAGAACAAATTATACTTATTTGTTAGATTCTGATGACATGGAAGATGTTGGATTTGATGAACTGGAAGAAAAGTGTTGTTCAAGAAGATGTAAAATTTTGCTAATCGCAGGGTACTTAGACTATCCAAGAAATAGCGATACAATTCTATCAATATTTTTTCAGATTTGGTATACTAATAATATTAGTATTTGTTCTTGTTTTTGTGGTCATACCTCTAATATTCATGAACTCCACTTTTGTTCAACAATCCCTTATTTTTACCCACTGTAAGTTAAACTTGAATATATTCAATTCTAAGGAAAGCTAGAATTAATATAATTTTTACAATCCGATTTACCATTTGATTGAAGAATGTAAACTTTCACGAATGGAGAACAACTAATCTCTTTTGATTATGTCTGCCACGAAAGGTCAGGCATAAAAACCTGCAGACTACGGCCAAATCTTTGACACAGATTTACCATTTCTTGAATATAAGGATATGTTAGGACTGGTATTCTGATGTCTTGATGGGCTTGAAAGTAGAATTGTAAATATATGTGTCTTTCTTCACTGTATTCGCTGAAGGAAGATAGAAATAGTTTCAATTCACTTTTCAAAGAAATCAACGAGTCATAATAATTCTTTAGATTCTTCAAATCTTCGTTCATATTAGTTACACTGAAATCAATAAATTTTGGGATACACATTAATTACCAAAAATCACTTTTCATCAGTTAATTCTTTGTTTCAGTTGGACTTCCGCGATCTGAAAAATACTTTGAGGATTATAAATTTCCGGCATTCAGAAATGAATATGTTTCAATAAATTGGGAAGGAGGTGCGAATAGATTTCTAGGAGTATGGCATATCCTTCCTGTAGACTTGGCTCAAAAGGCACTACATGATCCCAAATTCAGTTACGAAAAGTCTTTGTTCAATAGTAGTTTTGGTGTTCTTATTTATTTTCATGGAACCGGAGAAGCAAGAAGTTATAGTGCTAGAAAATACCAATTACTCAGTTATTATTTTCATATTATAGCATTCGACTACAGAGGTAATACAGTTAACCTTTCACTAGTTAAGAAGATGTGTCAGACGAGTTTAAGTTATTTGTTTTATTTTTTATTGCAAAAGTTTTTCACCATTCGGTTACATTTTGGGCTTTCATGATTATTTCTATACCTATTAGTACATAATACATTGACAAGCTCTTCCAATATGATGAAATGTACAAAAAATCAAAATTAGTATTATTTCAAGACTTGAACTTTCAGTTACAAAAATATTACAATATTCAGAATACAATAAATCAAGTTTCCCCTATTATTTCCTAGTCTCAATGCGGCCTTTCACTCTCAGTCAAATCACCACCTTTCTTCCATTTTCTTTTTGTATTTCCTACTTTCAAATTCTACGTTTTTATGATCAGGTATCTCAACAGCGGACTCGCAGTATTCTAATCATTATCTCTTATCCCCTGTTCTAACTAAATATCAAAGCTGTATCCTCTCTTGTTCTTTCTAGCAATAACTTTCAACTCAAACGAATTGCAAGTCAGTATTTAAGGTAAACAATATCAGTCTGCCTGAAGAAATGTCTCTTTAAATAAATTATCTTCCAGACCAGATTCTGCTATTCTAATCACAACCCTACTGTTCACAAGAGCTTACTACCCCGTCAAGGTTCCATAAAAAGATAAAATACAGTGCTAACCTGTGACTCCTGGAAAGTTGATAATCAATATGGAAATAATTCAATTTTCTTGATTTGTAGATTATGCAGATTCTTCCCCAGGAAGCCTTTCTGAAACTGCAGTTGTTAATGATTGTGTGCAATTATATTATTGGGTTAAAAATAGAACCCTGTCACCAATATATGTATGGGGTCATTCTTTGGGGTCAGCTTTGGCGACACGTACTGTCGCATCTTTGGAAAATTCTGGAATCCACACATATGGTTTAGTTTTGGAATCTGCATTTACAAATTTGAGGGATGAGTTATATGTTCATCCATTTGGGAAGGTGAATATATTGAATTTCTTCATTTCTGATCGAGTGCAATTAAGCCACTCAGTCGAATAGTGTTAGCTTTTAAGCTTATCGAACATTCAGAAATTTCAACTTGGTCAAAGCCATCTACTGAATATAAATGGATCCGCTATTACAGAATTGAACATAACCATGTTTTCAGAATACACTCGGATGGATTGAAAAATTCAACTCATTTTAATAAATTGATGGATGTAGCCGTTACTACGTGATATGAAATCATAATGAAGAAAAGAGAAGTGAAACTTTCTGTTTTTTACCGCTTTTATTTGTAACTAACGTTATTTAGTTACAAGGTAGACATTTTACAATAAACCAGTTGACACAGACTCATGGTACAACCCCCTTTTTGCCTTTATATCTCAAACTATATTTACGAAATTTGAAATATTGAATGTTTTCACCGAGAAGTAATTCTTGGCATGACAGGAGATTTTTTCCAATTTTCAGTTTTTCCAGAAACGACATCAAAGTTTGATTTATTAATGATACACCCTGTATACTATTACATTTTTGTAATATAAGTGTAGTTGTAATATATTGTAGTTGTGACCAGCAATACATTATGTAAAATGGTTCATTCTTGATGTGATTGTTAAGTTTTTTAAAATTTTTTCAACTCTAACTAAAATGAAAGTCCTTTCAAAAAGAAGGATGGTATATCCATCCTTTTCAATTTTTTAAAGTATATTACCCCTAGCGACACCTATTGCTTACTTAAGCACTTAAATTTTATCTCAAATTCATTGATATTCATTTTCGAAGAATATTGATGTGGAATTTGCAATATTCAGCACAATTTCGATAATTCAATTCTTTTGAAATACTATTTTTTCGTATAGCATTCCATGACGAACAAACATTACAATGAAATTAAAAGAATCAATGAACGAACTTTTTGATTCAGATATTTGCATGGTTGCCATGGTTTAGTGCAACTATCTTGGAGCCATTGGAGAGAAATGGTTTCATTTTCAATACATCATCTAACATCTTGGAAGTAACTTGTCCAATAATGATACTGCACGCTCAAGATGATCCTGAAGTGCCTTGCGAATTTGGAAGACAGGTAGACTATCAAAAACAACACGTGATATTTGTTCAAGGATATTTTATTTCAGTTATATGAAATAGCTTCTAAAAGGTCTCCTAAAGCAAACAGCACTACAGTGTACCATGAATTTGATGCCGATTTGGACTATGATCATATTTACATTTATCAGGATCCATTTTTGAAGTATTATATTATGTGAGTATTTGAAAAATAGTCAAGTTCAAAATAGTATTTCTCTCTTAATCTTCAACCAAGCAAAAGAAGTAATTTTCAGGCTCAAACTGGAAGAAAAATCACTTTCGAAAGTACTCCCATTGGAACTTGACTATAAAAATTAAAGCTAATAAGGCTGCTATTTTAGTTTCAATGACTGAATAAATTTGTGAAAAATTTGGAGGCAGTTTTCTTTTTGTTAATGCTAGTTAGTTTAAATAGACACTCAGTAAAAGTGCTTTGTTTTTTATTTTACCATTTTTTCAAAATCAGTGAAATTACTCGAGAAGAAAGTTGTTATCCCTTCTGATCTTTATTTTTTCTTTTCAGGGATTTTATGGCTATTGCTGCTAATCAATCAACATTGTTATGATATTTATTTATATTTCAAAGCTCCTATCAAAGAAATAAAAGGCTGTGATGCATCGTCAATTGAACAAAGGTCAAGAACTTATTTTCTCATAAGCCGCACCTATTGACTCATTTGTATTATATATTAACAAGTGTTATTCAAACAATAACGAAATATAACGTTCACAGTATTCTCAAGCTAGTAATATTATTTCAATTTCTCAAACTACCTTTAATTTAGTAAGAGGAAACGTAAGTTTCCAAAAGTACTTACATACTACGAAAATCATGCATTTGAAAATGTCAGCAACATTTAATTCAAAACAATACGAAAACTTAAGAAGTAATACAGGTATTAGTTCATTTCAAACTTCATCTTAGCAACTTTTGCGAGTTCAGAGAGGAATAGGAGCCATTTAATTACAAAAAACAGATATTTGTCATCAGCATATTGAGCTTAGAATCATGTATTTTAGAAGAATGTTAGAAACAAGTAAAACTACAAAAAATTAAGAGAAACAAAAATATTTCACACTAAGCATCACACAATCATCCTCGAGTGATAACTGGCTCATCTCATTCGTGAATATTTGTGAGTCAATTTGACCCCCCTTTTCCTTCTCTCCTTACGGATTGCAGGGTTTTTCAGTTCGTTGAACTTCATCCTGTTTTCCCGCTCAACTAAAGTATTTCACATATTGTGAAACTTCACACTGGTCTGACTGCAATCTTCAGTGTGTACGCAGCTTCTTTGAATTTCATTTTGAACCAATGCCTTGTCCTACAGAGTATTTCAGCTTCGGATCACCTGATGTTATGGTTTTCCCGATTTGCTGGTTTCTCCTCACTGGAAGTTCTTTTCTTGTGCTTGCTAATACGGTCTTTCAACAGCCTATATTGGTTTCACCAATATAGAGCTTGCCCCACCCACATAGAATCCAGCAACGCAATTCTAAGCGGCTTGATTTTCGTGAGGCTGCCGTGGATGGTTCTAATGAGTATATATTACGTTGAAGATGCTTTTTGATGTGGCCCCAAATCCCTTGTCTAGACTTTCCTTCGTGTTATGAAGACCTGAATGCACAATCAAATAGCTCCTTGAGTCCTCTCTGAGTAAATTTGTGGTAATGTATTTCGTGATTCTGGTATTGTCCAGTATGAGTCATTTTTACTACTTGTTATCGGATAGAAATTTCTGGCAAAAACAATCTGTACTAATAGTGGATAAGCCCTATTAGCCTTGAACAGACAACGTGTTACCTCAGGGCTAGGACTAGAGTGCCACCAAGGTTTAGCCAAAGCGTTGGTAGATAATAACGTTATCCTGAGGTGGGTTAAAGGGTAGGACATGAATAAAGCTAATCGCATTGCCGACTCTAGCTAAGGAAGCGGCTGGACTAAGAATTTCAGGACACAGGCATGTCATCTGGCGATGACCAGGAAAAACATGCCTAACAGTAGGATTTCTGACTGGCCACTGTCAACTAAGGAAACATATCCATATTATGGGGCTAGTGGACACACCTCTATGCAGGATGTGTGACCTGTCCATCCTCGGGAGGATGTACAATGGACTAAGTGCTGTGGGGCCTACACTCACCCCCCCTACTACACAGATACATATATTACTTGTTATCAGTTCACTTTACCATCCCGTCTAGGAACGCAAGTTCATTTTGGACTCCTTCTCCAATGTTTCAGCAGGACGGCGTCCAATTGTGTCACTAAAGATATCTACTGTTTTTTCAAGGCTTCTTCAATAGCCACAGTTCCAAACTATCCCATGTATTGCCGTAGTCATTGCCATGTATTCCATGGCTCTATGACCGGTGAAAATGGTTAACCCATTAGTAGTCCCTCATCTTCTCTAAAGAAAGAATTCTTTCTTCGGCTGTAAATAGCAGTTCTGGGTACAGCTTTCTAGTATTATATGATTCCTCCTATCCTATTCCAGTCGATATGGTTCTATAACTTTGATTTCCTCCATTAACATTTCAATGTAATCTTGAATTATCAATAAAGGATGAAGGTTTTTCTACAGCGGCGGAATGAGTATTTCCGTAGAAATTTGTATTTTTTGACAAAAATTTTGAGGTTGAAAATCATAGGCACTTTTTTTATTTTTATATTTTCCCAAGTCCCAAACATATATTTTGTCTCAACTCTCTACAAGATTTATTCATTCTCAGATATGTGAATTGAATCTGATCAAAATGTAGATAGATCTGCCTTTTATGAAATAAAATTAACAAAATCTATTTTTCTCTCCTAGTATGTAAGTGCAAAATAATTTCATTCGATAAAAAAATATTTATTCGATCTAAGAGGGGAGCAAAAATGTGCAACTCTCTTATCATAACTTTTGAGCCAACTACAAAACAGTGCTTATAAGGTTGAAAAGAATACTTATCTAGCAAAAATATAAGCCACCGCTGACTACTCTGAGCTCAAGCAAAATTCAATCTTTCTCGCCAAAAAAACAATATTAGTTCATCTATTATTATCCGCAATTTAAACAATTTCTCTCCCGAGTTCTGACAGCAAACGACATCGGATTTTTACTTTCCACATACCTACCTACCTATTTCGGGTATGAATTGAAGGTTAATGTTCTCTTATATTTGGTGAAGAGTGAATTTCACAATTTAGTCTTTGTTCCCAATTTTCGTATAGGTACTTATCCGCCTCCACCGATTTATTCGAAAACCAATTTTCAAGGCAGTGATGAAAATGAAATATTAATAAAATCAATATCCTACTGAAACTCACTTTATTGTTTGACTGAACTCTTTGTTTGAAAACTTGTTATAATGAGGTCAGTTATATAACCTACAGGTAGTAAAGTATTTTTTACAAAGACAAGAAACCAATCCATACATGTGAAACTTTCTAATTTATCATTCAGTCGTATCGGTGTTGTAAGTTATAAGGTGATAATTGTTTACAATGAATTAGAATATTTAGTACCAAAGAAGTATCATCAATTCCTCGGAACGAAAAGGTGTTGCTTACTAACATAACCGAATACAAACAACAGAACAAATTAATTAGAACAAGTGGATGCACCTAAAGTTTGAAATAAGGAATATAACAAAAACGTGAAAAACAACCAAATCGATTTGGGGGTATGACCTCGTAAAAGTGGCGGGAAATTCAAATAAAGAAGCAGCCACACGAACTTGAACAGAGGAAACATTTAATTTATAGTTTATACAATTATGTTATTGTTAAACTGCTGATAACTCATACCATTTCACAACACATTATAATTACTCGAGGCTCAATTACAAGAGAAACTCTCACAATGCAGGTAGATTATTATATGTTTTAAATACTTTGAAAAAAACACTTTTTTTTTTCAGAAATTACCTACCACACATAAATCACGTGGTTGTTGTGCAAAATGTATCTTAGGAACTTTCATCTACATGTAAGTTTGGGAATATAGAAGCCTAATATTTTATCTTTGTCCTTATTGAATATTATGTGTTTCAGCTTAGTACTCCTGTTGCTGCTTTTCATCATAGTGTTTGTCATTGTCCCTATAGTTTTCAAGTATAGCATAGGAATTCAAAGAAACATAATATTCCCATCCTGTAAGGTACAACAGAAGTTCAGTGTGCCTTTTCTTTACTGTGCGGTTTTCAGGGGTAATAACACCGATAAACTACTCGGATGTAGAAGCCTCAGGAATCAAAGGTGTGAAAAACTTTTACCTCACACTTGATGGAGGAGCCAATACAACATCAGACAGTAATGTAACGCTTGGTGTTTGGCAAATATTACCATATGAAATCCTGAGCGACCTCATCGACAATGAGGATTACAATTATGAAGGTGCTTTAACGAACGAAAACTATAATATCCTTTTGTATTTGCATGGAAACGGCGCAGATAGGGCAGCTGCTCTAGAATTGTATGACATATTGCGCAAGTATTTCCATATATTTGCTGTGGACTATAGGGGTAAGAGGTTAGCCCAAAAAAAAATTACAGATAGGTACAGTTTTGTGTTTAAGGATATGGGGATTCGTCCATGGCTGAAATGACAGAAAGTCACATTGTCACTGACATGGTAGAGTTTTATAAATGGCTCAGGAGTAAAACAAATTCAAAAATTTATGTGTGGGGGCATTCTTTAGGCACTGGTGTAGGCACACACTTGCTGGCCAGTTTGAAAAAAGATAACATTTATAGTAAAGGTTTGATTCTGGAAACTCCTTTCACTTCTATTACTGACGTCATGCTCACTCACCCCATCATAAAGGTATGAATAGGTACATAAACCTCTGTAGAAGAAACTTTTTTCAATGGTGGTCAATTTCAGGTTTTCTCGTTTTTGCCGTGGTTCAGAACAACTATGATAGAACCAATTATTTACAATGACTTGAACTTCGAGTCAAAGAAGCATATTTTAGACGTTGATTGTCCTGTTATGATCCTTCATGCTAAAGATGATACTGTCATTCCATACTCATTTGCAACAGAAGTATGTATGATTTTTGGTCTTTTAATTACTAGTTAGTAAGGAGTTGAAGAAAATTCATCTGCAAAACTGTAAAGATACAAATAATTTTGCTAAATCTTCAGACTAATGACTTTGTGGAATAAATGTGTTCTTTTTCAGTGAAATTAAGTACAAATAGGTGTGTTTTTACATCATCGGGGATAAATACGATAGAACTAATCTACATTTAATGAAAATCTATTATAACGTATTCAAAAAACACACATCAATGTGAAAATTCACAAAACCCTGATACGTGTTTCTCCTTACGATAGCATCCTCAGGCGTCACAATACTATTTGTACAATTTCTGTGTCATGCTTTTATACTAATTTGAATCAATATGAATATTACTACATTACATGATAAATTCATACCTGAACTATTCATCTATCAAGGAACAACACATGAGATTGGAGAATTATGAATAAGAATTTTTACTATCATTTTACCTACTTGTAAGATATGTCCTGATTACCAATTTCCTCATTGCAAACTGCATTCAATAAAGAAAAACAATTCAAATCTATTTGATCATTGAGCAATAATCCCGAATTTTCACATCTATTGATTTCTTAACATTCCAATCGGTTGAGTTTTGAACCTTTCTGTTCCAAATGCAATACGCCATAATCGTGATTGAACCCGTACCCCTCTGTCAAAATATATTTCACAAATGTTGAACTACTTCTATGCTTTTATTCTTTTAGAAAAAGTTCTTCCAGTTTGTCTGATATAAAATTTTGGACAAGTCAACTTGTATACTTCCGATTTATCCGACACTGAAGTTCATCATTTTTGTTTTTAATGAATTTACTTAAATTATTATTGCTTATGTAGGATACATCCAATTCTTTTCCTTTAAAAAACGAGCAATATTATTAGTAGGATCACCAAAGTTAGAGATACATAATGTTTAGTATTGTTCTTTGAAACTGGATAGACCTGATTCAGAGCTGGTTTCTGCAATTTTTTAGAAAGAATAGAGATAATAATATCCACCTCGTAACCGTTGTTAGCAGCAATGTTTCATAAAAATCAGTTCTCTTTGAAAATTGCTTTCTGGAAGTTGAATTTTCAATAGTCTTTGAATCATACTATTGAATGCTGCTACTTTATGTTGATATGAATGTAGAGCTGAATTGTGTATAATATAATCCTCGAATGATTCTAATTCTGAAAGAGAGCGGCTAAAAATTGTGTGTCAAAATTCAATATGAACGATAGCGTAACCCAATTATCTGATTTTAAAAACTATATGCTGGTCTCTGGTCATTATAATACTCGGTTGATGTAGCAAACTTATAGGTCAGATAAACTATGTTCAAGTTATACATCTTTCAATTTCATTTTCAGCTTTACAATACAGCGGTGAACAACAGAAATGAATCATATCAGGGTAATATAACTTATCACCTGTTTGAATCCTTGGGATATGACCACATGTTTCTCTATAGGGCACCTGAGTTGCCCACATATGTGAGGTGAGTTGTATTCAGGATAGAAAAGAATAAAATCAACAATTGAAAATTTTACAGAGATTTCATGGATGACTGCAACAGATACGAAAAAGAACATATATAAAAATACTCAACTACAAAAACAACTACATGTGATACCTATATTGTGGAACAAATTTTTTCACGTTGTTTATGTTATCTTTGTTAGATTGTTTTGTGAGAAAAATTATAATTTTTGGCATTAAAAAAGAGGTTTTTGTAATCGAAAGTTTCATTTCCTGCAACGGAATCTTTAGCAACGAGTTAAATGATGAAGTCTGAAATTTGAGCATCAGAATGTTGAAAACCAGAGCCCAAACACAACACATTCGGGTTCCAACACCAGATAACACTATTTTGAACGGACATACGTCTCATCAGTGATAAGTGATAATGTTGTCTTGCAGTGAAGACAAAGAACGAACCTTTGATCTTCAGAGATTTTGTTCTGTGTCGATAACATAGGTGGCATCTTAGTAAGGGGAGATGTCATCGCCTTGTCCTTTAAGACATTGTCCTGTCCCAAAAGCCTTACAACCAGGCATCTTTCCAACATCTAGCGCCACACCACAGTCAAGAGAGTCCCTACTCCTCCGAGCTCTACCCCTTCGTGCAGAGGGCGCATTACGCTAGTCACACGGGTGGCGAAGCAGCGGGGTAGAAGACCCATTTCCGTTTATTAACATATTATTTCGATCCTGTCATTTCATACTTAAGATAGAACATAATATTCCACCGTGTCTACATCTCTGTTAATTAGCTCATCCCAACAAATTAGTGAATCAAGGGCGTTCATGATAGTTAAAATGGGGTTTCCTAAACTGAATTTCATAAATAAACTTCACTAAACAGTTTACTTTTTAGGTTAAGATTGCTTTTTTACTTCCTCACTCACAACTAGTAGCATTATTGAGAGATTTTAATTGTTTCATAGAAATTGTTGGAGAATACACTGAAACGGTATTACAAAACCATTTTCGTCACATTCTCTAGGTATTTTTACTGCCTGAAACTGAAGAATTGCGGTTAGGTTAGGCAGAGAGGTTATGTTGCGGCACAGAAATGAAAGAAATTAATCATCTGTGCCACAGACACAGATAGATTTTGTTCTGTGTCGATAACATAGGTGGCATCTTAGTAAGGGGAGATGTCATCGCCTTGTCCTTTAAGACATTGACCTGTCCCAAAAGCCTTACAACCAGGCATCTTTCCTACATCTAGCGCCACACCACAGTCAAGGGAGTCCCTACTCCTCCGAGTTCTACCCCTTCGTGCAGAGGGCGCATTACGCTAGTTAGTCACACGGGTGGCGAAGCAGCGGGGTAGAAGACCCATTTCCGTTTATTAACATATTATTTCGATCCTGTCATTTCATACTTAAGATAGCCATTAACATAATATTCTACCGTGTTTACATCTCTGTTAATTAGCTCATCCCAACAAATTAGTGAATCAAGGGCGTTCATGCTAGTTAAAATGGGGTTTCCTAAACTGAATTTCATAAATAAACTTCACTAAACAGTTCACTTTTTAGGTTAAGATTGCTTTTTACTTCCTCACTCACAACTAGTAGCATTATTGAGAGATTTTAATTGTTTCATAGAAATTGTTGGAGAATACACTGAAACGGTATTAGAAAACCATTTTCGTCACTTTCTCTAGGTATTTTTACTGCCTGAAACTGAAGAATTGCGGTTAGGTTAGGCAGAGAGGTTATGTTGCGGCACAGAAATGAAAGAAATTACTCATCTGTGCCACAGAACTCAAAATTATATCTTGTAAAAGTAGATTTGCCAGTTTTAAGTTGGAATTTCCGAATTTTGAATTGAGTTTAAAATCATAAAAATCGATAAATAACTAATATTGCATTTCTAAGTGTTATTTGAACCACCTACAAACATCAGTTTCAAAATAATAGCTGAAATAAGTGCTAATGAGGATGATGGTGTGGAACAAGTACAAAAATGAGGTTCCTATTTAAAATTGAAATAGGATTTTTTCAAATTCTATTCAACATTTCCTGAACTATACCAATTTTCGATCAACAAAAAATATAAGTTTTTTCGATATTATCAGTTTTCAGTTCTAAATTGTCACCTAAATAACAAAATTTTCAAAAACAATTTTGTTGCAGTCGAACATTTTTTCATGAAAACTAAGTGTTGAAACGGTATTTATTTGTTTTGTCTGTAGACAGACATTCCACAACAAACTCAACCTCACCTGAACTCACATAGTGATATCTTTTATTGGCGTCTCGAGGCCAAGATTTGAACATTTCGCGAATCGGTCAGTCCTCAAATACTGAATGAAACAGATTTACCTTCATTTCTAGAGTGTTCAAATTTGATAATCGTCTGTCGACAATGATTTTTGAATATTGCCTAGGAGGATCAAAACTATAAAACCCAGTTACTCCTGAAAACATAAATGAAAGAATACGGTGAAAAAGTTTGGGTTTTGGAACGTGCTTCGATAGAGATTTCGAATTTCCCGCTAAGTAGGATTCTAAGGTTGGTAGTGTGAGTCTTCGGGCTGGTCTGAGTGTCTGAGTTTATCATGGCGAATAATACGATCAGGCGATGGTTTGTCATGGAGTGTATTAGTCTTATTTTGTAAATGAAGTCATTGAAAATAAAAACAACGATCGCTTCTGGAAGTGTCCAGTATTAGTGTAGTGATATCCAAAATGTTTGAATAAGTGTGTGCGTGCAGTTTCATTCAAAACATCAAAATGAGGTAAGTAATCGGCTTTTATGTGTTCTTGCAGTTATAATATCTACCTTATTTATTTCATTTAAAAATATTGCATTTTCATTTATTTCAATCACGTCGTCTTGATTTTTAGTGAATTAAGAAAGCAGCAAATTTATATTAGAAGTAATTGAAATTAAATTGCTGAAGTAGTTGTAGTCATTTGTTTTCAACAAGGTTACCGAGATGAGCAATGTTTTTCCAGCAATTATTTCGCAAGTTTCTCGATATTTTGGTGTATTTTTATCGATTTCGAAACATTGGGTGTGTTGAACCTATCCATTATCTGCGAATGAAGTTGCCACCCCTATGTTGGTTTTCTATAAGGCTAAATTTTCCCTGTTCCCATGCAGAAATTCATATTTTCTGCAGTCGCATGTTTGACAATGCAATATTCAATTCAACGAACTGAAAAAACATATGGTATTTGAATATCATCCGCGGTTTATCTTTCACATTGAAAAACAGATGGTTTATTTTGTATTTACATTGTGGGTATTTACTTAAGATATCTGGGCACACCATTAAACGGATGTTTTTGCTTTGTTATGATTCATGATGACTAATGTTTATACAGAATATCCAATTTTTGAGAATATTTTTACTGATATATAACAAATAATTAGGCACTTAAAAGCTTGGCCATAGTTTTGACGTTTGTCATTATTTCATATTCATCAGGATTTTGCAAGTGATATTTTTTCGAGCAACTGAAAAAAATTAAATTTATCACACACAAGATGATAATGAATTTCTTGTTATCTTATCATGACTTAGGAACCCAGTGAAGTATTATCAAAAAATTATTCCAAAGTTACAGCTTTGAAGTTTGTAATTAGTGTGACAATGGAAACTTTTGTTGATAAGTATTATTCAAAATTAAGTACTCCTGGATATTTTTCAATAAAAAGTCAAGTGGCCTGAAAAAAAATAAGAGCTATTGATATACTATATATTTATTATAGATGTCAACAGAGGGCGTTATGTTACTTAACTATGCATAAACAACATTGAAACTGTCAACTGACGTCTTATTCTGTGATATTCTTTCTGAAAGTGTCAACTATTGGTGTGATGTCAACTATTGGGTGTTTTACCTTACTACTTGATGTACTTTTCACAACTAGAATATAAAGATACCAGGAGCAGGATGCATATTTACTTACTTGGTGTAATTACTGACTTGATTTGAATAAAAAAAAATTATTCTGTTATGTGCATACACTAATAGAATGTGTCAAACTTCAATAAGTTCAACTTTGTTATATGCTGTATTTTGTCGACTTATTCATTCAGTTTATTGAGTCAAAATGTTTAGAATCTGTTAGTATCGTTTAGAGTCATATGTCAACAGGAATAATAAACTCCTATACCTCTTTATTGGTCAGGCTAGATATATGTGCTGCAAAAAGTACAGTAATTAGACATTAGAAAATTTTGGAAAAGATGTATATGATGATGATCCATTTTTTAAAATATTTTCAACTCTTTGAAATAATAATAGTTGGTTTTTTCTGAAAGCAAATGTCTAGGGGCATGAGACATATATTAAATTGAACAAAAATTGAAGAACCAAAATAAATTCGGAACAACTTGGATAAAATTACTCATGTATGTGCTCATATTAGGCATTTTTGACAACCATGGTTGAAATCGATAATAAATACCATAGAAACTTGTACATGTGTCAAAAGTAACTGACTTTTTTTCACATGATTGCTGTCTGATCATGCTTAGTAATATTCAGTCTGTGGTAAGATTTGAAGGTTATATTGAGGGATTCACAAAAGAAATTCAATGATTTAAAGAATTGAATCGAAGACTCAAAAACTGAAGCATGATTTCAAGACTCGAAAGTGAAAGATTCAAGATATATTTCAAAGATTTGAAGACTGAATTACTCAAACTGAATATTGAAAACAAGGCAAGGAAAATAGACTTCAAATGTACTGAAAATATTTGGTTGTATGAGATTTGAAGAGGATGTGTTCCCCTCGGCATATTTCGTTTAGAGAATGTACAAAATAACAAAATCTTGAACAAAACTGCTTCAAATAAATGAGTAATTTCTAATCTAGCTACTTGATATGGAACACGTTCGAGAAAACTCATCTCTATCTGAAATTTAAAAAAATTTGACAATCTTGAAAACGGTACATAATATTCAGACCTGAAAAAGAAATTCAAATATTTATTACAGGGTGAAATGTGTCTAAATTGACTAGAATTACCCTGTAGGCTTCTCACTTCGTATGCAAAAGTAAATAATTCTAACACACAAACATTAGAGGAATTACTTTCAATATTGAAGATTTAACTTTTAATTAATATAAACCACTCCATGTCTATCTTATGTCGCATGTCTAAAGTATGAGTGGATCAGTTTTAAAAAACCTTTCCAAGTCAAACCAGCATTAACAATCTTCAAATTATTCATTCAGGGTAAAAATGAAGAGGATAAATGCGCAA